AAGCACGCCGCAGTGGCGTGCAGGGTGACCCCCCAGCCAGTCGTCCACAGTGAGGGACAGCCTGACTTGGGTACTTCGACGGCCCTACGTAATGCCCATCTGCTAGATGTCATCCAGTGGATAGACATCCACCAAATGCCCATCCACAAAACACTCATCTCTAAAATACACATCCGTTAATTTTCTATAGGGTCATTTTCTGGTTCGCATCCCCTAACTATGCATCTTTATTCGATTCATCCCCCTATAGAACCTCTATGAAACATAAATGCAAACCGCCGAAGATCCACCCACAGTCCCAGCGCTCACTGTGCGAAACGCCCTGCGCACGTTTCCACTTCCCATATTAGCCGGAGTTTACCTGGTGATGAAAAGTGCCTTGGATATCTTTGCCGCAGTAGAAAGTACAAAGAAATTATTTAGCTGTCTCTTGTGATGTCGAGTTGTCTTAATAGCTCTGTCACGTTCTCGGCTGTGGGAGTTTCTGCGGTCGACAGTTTAATAGCACGTTCTAGGTGCGGTGATTCTCTTGCTAGGCTGTCTAGCACCATAGCATTCACATCCTCTGCCAGAGTTTTGAGTGTGCCTAGAGTCACGGAAAAGTCTTGACTGAAGAAACGTTAGCCTTACGATATAATTGGGAAATCAAGTACTGACATCAGTTTCTCCGCCTTGTTGGCGAACATTATCGATAACATAGGCGAGCCGTTTGAGAGGATATTCCACCGATTCGATATGCGCCAAAGCGATTGCACGTTTTTCCTCGTTGTTGACAATGATGCTTGATGTAAGTCAATAGCGATAGTGGTAACTCCCCTGCCCTTTGCGGTACGCAGCTTCTTGCTTCTTGTTTCCTCTTTGATGGCATCCTTGAGCTGCGGTATCAGTTGGGCCACTCGAATGTTAATGAGCCTGGAAAATTCGCGGCGGGAGCGGCTGCGTTTCAGTCGTCTCTCTAAGAGCAATAGGGCCTTTAATACACGTTTGCTCGGAGCACCTTTACGCAAAGTTGTGGAGGCAAGTAGAGATGCCCAAAACTGGTACACCTCGTGGCGGCGGGTTGAAAAGAATGACTGCGTCTTCCCTGACTAGGTTTCGCGCAAGGCTTTTGGTATGCAGCGACGCTTGGCCGCTGGCCATTTGCATGACGGCGACATACACTCCCACTATAGTGAGAAACGCTCTGGTAAGTTTAGCATAGCAATTCCAGAAAAGGCATGGGAGATCATCGAGATATTAATACTTTTGCTTCGCGAGCCGAGATATACGGGCCTCAAAAACGTCATCTGCTCGCATGAACCCGCATCATAGTTCGCAGGTCGTTTTCTGTCTCCGAGCCCTGCCACCTTCATTCAATTTTCATCCATCGATAGCACCAGCTAAGGTCGGATGATGGTGGCGCAGGCACAAGCCTACCCCTCCAGCGGCAGCCAACGTGGACTTGGGCTGGGAACAGCGAACAGACCCTGGTGGATCCAGAAAACAGGAGACAGCTAGTGTTAAAACTCAAAGCAGCAAACGCATCGTTGCGTGTTCTACACTCGTGATGCTTGCGCAGGCGGCCAGCAAACTGCGGGAAGAGTGTCAAGTCAGATCGTGACTTATTGAACCTGTCCTCGTCTGCTTCATGGTGCTTGTGGCACCAAAACTGTTCTCTGCTGGTGGTAGCGTTTCTCATCACCCAGCTTCGAGCGTGCCAGCGATCGAAATAGGGACAGAGCTCAGAACTAGACTTACATCAAACAAGATGTAATAGCTCCAGCATGTCAGCGTTTCACAGCCGAGATTCCTAAGCAAACTTTAACAATGACAACTCCGCAATCGCAGCGTGATAGAACAGGTGAGAATTTTGCCAGAGCGACGTATCACTCAATAAGAAGATGCGATCAACTAAGCCGTCGGTACGGCGCCGACTTTTACGTATTAGTGCGCCGACAACATCGGCACTATGACTACTGCTCAACTAAGGATTGCCATTGTCCGACTCGCATCAACATGGTACGCCAGACTTTTCTTTTCTAAGGTCATTTTGATCGAATGTGACGATGATTGGTCCAGGAAACGGTCTAAACTCGAGCTATTAGGCGGACGCCCAAAGATTTTTGCCTTGAAACTCGGAAAGGCAGCCTTGCCAATTGATAAATCTAACGGCGATACTGCGCGGCGAGGGCAGAGGCTTCGTGATGGAGAAATACAAAAGGCCTGGCAAGCTATAATCTCTGCCTACATTACACTTTTAAATGATATAGCTGAAATGATAAAGCGATCACTCAAACTCTGCGACCGTAAGAGGTTGGAAAGGGGAAATTGGGATACTGCACCAAGGACAAGGGTACTCATCTGGGGAAGTTGAACAGTTTGCTTTTAGGAGGGACGTCTTCAAACCAGCACATGAAGCTAGTCGGGTGGGAGAGCGGCTGTCAATGCAAGTAAGTGCTGGCGCTAGTCAGTGGCTGTCTGTTTGTGCTGGTTAGTGGTTGTCAGTACAGGCTAATCGTACCAATTCAGCTATAATTACCCGTAATCGGTTATTTTAAGTGGCAGTGGCTGCTAGTGCCAGTAGACGTCAGGGACACTTTGTAGGGAGTTGATCCTGGTGATTACACCGAAATGCTTACCGATATGAAGAAATCCTACCGATTATCAGATTTTTTCTGTTCAGAAGCAAACTTACTAGTCAATCGTTGGCCAGCGCTGCGACGACAGTGAATAGTCAGAGGATTACCCGTAAGCAGCAGTTTTTTTCCAGCACTCTATCCGCTGAAGACTTCTAAACAGAGCTGAAAATGCGGCAATAATAGTAAGAGAGGGTCTCTTTTTCTGAAATCTGCCCGGGTCTTGACTAGTAAACAGTGCTGGAGGTTGCAGTACTGATAATAGACGGTCCCTTTCCAGCACTCTGTCCCTGTCTTGACTAGTGAACAGTGATGTAAATGTTGCTGGACCGGTAAAGTCGGCCTCTTTTCAGCACGCGGTCCCTGTCTTGACTAGTAAACAGTGACGGAAATGTTTATTTATTTATTTATTTATTAATTCATAGACTGTCCCAGCCGCCTTCTAGCAGCTATGCAGCGTGCAACTATACACAAATTGCTCCCACAATCCGGGGGATCGGCCTCTCTTGCAGGGAGACTACGCCTGCCAAGCTGTTCCTGCGAGGGAGACTCTTCCCTGTCAATCGACGGGATCCATGGTTGCCCTTTGCTTACAGCTATTTTATCTGTTCTGTGTCTTTGAACTTGTCAGGCCTCTCCTGGCCCTCCTCAACTTCTGTATAACCAAAATCACTCGTCTACGCTGTATATTCAAGTACGGTGGACGGAACTGCTCGAAATTGTCCTAGCAGTCCCGTCCTCAAGATCATTTTTGCTGCCTGCGCTGCCATTGACGAGCTACAGAGAATGCGCTTGATGTCAACGCAAGGGTGTTTGCCTGCCCACATTTTCTGTCGTTCTTCTGTCCAGTTTCTGCATTCGAGCAGGATGTGTCGTACGGTTTGAGGTCCATAGCCGCACTGGCATTTATCGGTGTCCGCTTTGTTGATGGCGTGGAGGTACGCATTGAGACCAATCTTGCCGCTGCGCATTTGCGTAATCACAGAACCGATGGCTCTGTGCGTTCCGCGACGCAAGGGTTAACGGAAATGCTGCTGGACTGGTAAAGTCGGCCTCTTTCCAGCACTCTCTCCATGTCTTGACTAGTAAACAGTGATGTAAATGCTGCAGGACTAGTAAAGCCGGCCTCTTTTCATCAGTCTTTCCCTGACTCGACTGGTAAACGGTGATGTAAATGCTGCAGTACTGGTAATACGTGAAGCAGTCTCTTTTCAGCACTCTGTCCCGATCTCGACTATTAAATGATGATGAAAATGCTACAGGACTGATAAGACGCGAAGCAACCTCTTTCCACAGCGCTGTGCTGCAGCGGCGACACCGCCAGACTTCCCGAGCTA